CCCAGTGATGGGCAGCAGCTACAGAGCCGGGGCTGGCTGCAGCTCCATGCTGGTGGCGAATGCACGTGCACCTTGGGATGGGTTGAGCTACCCTGCTGTCTGCCCCGAGGTGCGTGCGCAGTTGCCACCAGCATGGAGCCGATGCTGGAGCTGTGGAGCCTGGCGCAGCTGTTTGCAGCCTCTGGGCTGCAGCTGCCCAGAGCCGAGGCTGGCTACAAAACAGCTGCGCCGGGCTCTGGAGCCCAGTTACCAGCTCTGTGCCAGGAGCAGGACAGAGACCAGGGTTGTGCTGCCTCAGGCCCCTCCCGCACCACTCACTCCAAGACGCACATGCATGCGCCAGTACAGAGCTGATGCCTGGGCTCTGGAGCCTGATGCAGCTGTTTGCAGCCTCTGGGCTGCAGCTGCCCAGAGCCCAAGAACCTTAATCCTGAGCTTATTTGGTCGGTTCCAGTCCCAGAGCCTTTGGTCTCTCAGCCTTGAGGCTGGGGCAGGGGCATGGTTTCAAGGTTTTGAGCAGATTGGGCACTCCAGAGATCTAGATTCAGCCCCTCCAGAGAACCAGGGAGTGCTGGGAGCTGGATCTGAGGTGATCTGGCCTCTGGGCATCATCTTTGGAAGGAACAACCTTCCCTGCTCTGGACCTGAGCTCTCAGAGACACTGGCCAGAGCTATGTGGCTGCTGCTCACGGGACTATGCAGCCTGGGGCTGTTCCAGTCTCCTACTGGGGCCCCAGACCAGTGACCCTAGCTCTGCCACTGCCATCCTGCATGGCCATGGGCCAGTCCCCCGCTCACCCGTGCCTCTGTGCATTGCAGCTTAGAGTGAGGGTGGGATTTGTTCCCTGGGGCCAGGGTCGGGGGGGAGGGGGGGCATGCCCCAAGAACCCATGAGGAGGCTCTGGCTTACTGCCTCAGTCCCTTCAGGGTGCATGGACAGACTCCCCTGGCTCCAGCCCAGCTCTCCCCTCCTCTGCTGCACTGGCCTGACCCCAGAGCAGTGCCCTGGATCCAGTGGAGTGTTACATGTACGCAGCACCATCAGTCCAGAGTCAGTTTTGTTTGCTTTCCTGGGGGAAAACACTCCTTGATGCCCCACTATACCCGCTGCCTTGGCAACAGGGTGCAGGGACTGGTGGGGATGCACCATCATGTGCTCTCCCAGCTTCTCTGAGGATAACTGTTTAAATGTCCTGAATGGTCCTGCCAGCTTAGGGCCTTAGCTGTGTGGAGTGGGTGGGTGGCTGGGCTGATGGTTAGGCTCCGGGCTGGGGCCTCGGCTCAGACGGGCCCAAGGCATTTTTGGGTTGGACTTTGTCCGGTGGCCTAGCAGCCCAGCTCCGTGCGCCCGCACATCTGGTTGTGTGTGCATACATGTCTGGTTCTGGATGTGTGTGCGCATGTGTTTGTTTTGGGTGTGTTCTGGTTCTCTGTGTTTGTTCACGTGTGTGTGTGTGTGTGTGTGTGTATACACACGTGTCTGGTTCTCTCTCTGCTCTCCTTTCTCTCTCTCTCTTTTTTTTCTTTCTCTCTCTCTCTCCTCTTTCTCTTTTTTCTCTCTCCCTCTCACTGCAACATGCGGGTAGGGGAGCAGTGGGGTGAAGGGAGCTGCACAACAAGAATGAACCCAAATCTTGTTCCTTTCCAAGGAACACACAACAAAGGTAGTATTTATGATTATATACTAATATGCAGTGCATCTTGCTACGTACCCACTCTCCCCACCCCGGCCCTCATTTTGTTTTTCTGGCATGCCAGCACTCCGGCACCTTCCAAGGTAGACATGTGGTTTTTTGGCACTCTGGACAAAAAACGTTGCCTATCCCTGCCCTAGACTCTATAGGTACATTTCAGTTCACTTGAACGTGAAGCATTTCTTATCCAACAAGTTACTAATTTGTAAACTAATTTGTAAACTCAAACTAGAGATAAAAAAGGTTATATGCATCATTTGAATCTGGTATCAGTGAAAGGAGAGTTCTGGGCAGGCCCTTGTTCACTGCAGCCACTGACAAAATATGTGCAGAAATTACATTTGCTTATTCTATTCTGTCTATCACCTGAATCCTCTAACTATCACTTGAATACTCTAACACCAGCATTTCCTTTTTGGACACTGTGATCAATATCCAAGATGGTAAAATTCAAACCACCAGATATAAAAAACCCACAGACCAACATACATATCTACTGAGCCAGCAATCACCCCAAACACACCAAGAAAGCTGTAATATACAGCTAAGCTCTCCGATGCCACCAAATTTGCAGCGAGAAGAATACCTGTGACCACCACCTCACAAATCTCTAAAGGGCCTTTGGCCAACAGTGACACTCCTGCAGGGAGATAGATCACACTTTTGAAAAAGCCACCCAGATACTACGTGAAGATTTACTGCAATATAAAAAGAAAATCCCCATAAATCACAAAGCATTAGTTATGACACATCACCCTTCCCTGGAACCTACATTGAAAATCCTCGAACAATTGCAACCCATACTAGAAGACCCAGTTCTTAAAGAGATCTTTCCAGAAGCACCCATCCTAGCCTTCAAACAAGCACCAAACCTTGCTAACCTCATCACCAGAAGTAAACTCCCTATGACACAAACCACATCGACAAATAGATCCAGACCATGCCAGAACAAGAAATGCAAAACCTGCCAACGTATCTCCACCACTCCCACTATAACTACCCCCCACCAAAGAAGCATCACCATTCCTGGATCTTACAGCTGCACCTCCAGAAATGTTATATCTCACCCAGTGCACCAAATGCCCTGAGGGGTAATATGTTGAAGAAGCCAAACAACAACTGCACACCAGAATGAATGCACATTGAAAATCTATCGAAGACAAGAATACCCAACTACCTGTGGGTACACACTTCTCACAGGACAATCACTCCCTCTCCGATCTCTCAGTTTTAATCCTCAAAGGGAACTTACAAAACACCTTTCATAGATAAGCCAACGAAGTTCTCTTCATAAATCAATTGGATACAAAAAAAATCATGGACTCAATATAGACATTGTTTTTATGACACATTACAACCTGCCTGACATCTGATTCACCAGGTACCTGCCTGACAACCTCTTTTCTACCTTGTACTCTATCACTGCACTGTCTCCCTTCAGCCTTTTTTTCCCCTGCTCTCTTCCCCCTCCCCCTTCCTTCTCTGCCTCACCTTTTGTCTTTCTAATTCTACCTATTTACATTCTCACTGACCTCCTGACACACTTTTAGCTTCTTTCATTTCCTGGAGTCTCAGAACAGCAGAGACTCCCTATGGCTGATGAAAGGTGCCTGTGCCTGAAAGCTTGCTAAGAACTGTTTTCCAACTACTCAGTTGGTCTAATAAAAGATATCACATCTACTCAAAGAACCTTGCCTGCCTATGTCCTTAGATAAACACGGCTACAACCAAAAACCCAGCATCTTATATTCAAGACATTTCTGCTTAATTAAGCCCAAGCTATCCAATACTTCTGTAATAAAATGTCAAAGACCTAACATAAATAAACATTTAAATTAAGTTCCAGACATGGCCAGGTAAACAGGGCCAGTCCACAGGCCAGATTGGGTCCACAAACTCCCCTACCCACATGCCAGATGCAGCACAAACAGGCTAGGGACAGAAGTTACACATAAATTGGTATATCTAGCAAATGCTAAGTAAAGTTGTTAGTAAATATGGGAAGCTGCCTAAGGGAACAAAAGACAGGGAATACTTGGTGTGCATGACTGCTACAAAGAATCCAGAGAAGAAATAAAGGACAAATGCTTTTTCTAATATTCACCCCAAACTTAGTATTTGTTCTACCTATAAGCCACGGGTTTTCAACCTTTTTTGGTTGGTGGTGAGCAAGGGGCCTGCTGTTTCCTGCCACCCTGCTGCACCCTCCCCTGTGACCTGACACGGCAGGGAGCAGAAAAGCCCTGCAGAAAACCTCCTCACCGCTTCTCACCGCCCCCTCCCCTGCTGCCCCAGTGATGCGCCTCCTGCACACGGGGCTGCAGCGAGGGCAGTGGCATGGGGCTGCTCCCCTCAGAACAGCGGCAGGCGCTGGAGGCGCATCACCAAGGCAGCAAGAGGGGGGCGGGGGCAGCTCACACTGGTGAGGAATCCCCATACCGCCCCACTGTCCTCAGCCATGCCAGGTCACGCCAGCTAGCTCTGGAGGCCCCAGGGGAGGGAAGCAGGCTGGGAGCTTGAGCCCGGAGCCTGTGCCTGCCCTGGGTACAGATCTGGGGGGCACAGGTCTCCCCTGCTCCCCAGGAGTGTGCATGGTAGTTGGGAACCAGCCCTCTCCCTCCCCCCGGATGAGCCACCTGCGGTTCCATTCTGTTCCTGGCTGAGGCCCTGCAGCTGCGCATTGCAGCCCCTGGTCCCAAGCCCCACCGAGCTGGGCAGCAGCCCCAGCCTGCACCTGGTACAGATCTGGGGGGTGCAAGTCCCTCCCTCCCCCCTGGGAGTGCACGCAGCAATGGGGAGCCCCCCCCAGCCCAGCCCACAGCGGGGGGGGGGGGCAAGGGGCACCAGCAAAGCTGTGGGGGCTGTGGGTGGTCTTTAATTTTAATCACAGATTTTGGGTTTTTTAGCAGAGAATTTTTTATTTTTAATCAGGGAAAACCAGGATCCCTGCTAATAAGTAAATAGAATGGATATATGGCTACTACAGTGACCACTGGGCACATGAGATGCAGAGATGGTTAGATCTTACTATGACAGTTTTGTGGGTTTTTCTTTAACTTGATTTATTAATGAATCAACCTATCAGAAAACAAATGTAACATTTAAAGCTACCCCCCAAAACATACATAGAGACAGATATTTAACTTCTGTTATCAGTGCTTCCCTAATTCAAATCAGTGTCCACAGGCTTGTGTTTTTTCTCTTCCTTTCAGTCTTTGACAGTTCGTTAATGTTCTAGTTGATGTTAAGCTTTTGTGTTTCTTCATCTCTATATCATAATTTACTCCCCTCTTCTTCTTCAGAACTTTTTATAATACAGATCTCACTATCTTCTATTAATTTCTGATTCATTCCTAATTTGTTCACACAGAACTTGCACTTTAATATTCCAAAAAGTTATTCAGAATTTTTTGGTTTGGAAGCAGAGTTTCCACCAATCCTGCCATCCCTTGCCCCCTTTCCCCATATCTGTACCTAACCCCTGCTGCTTGTCCCTCTTGCCACATGCCCCACTACCCCTTCCATGCCTGTGCCTTCCTCCTCTGCTGCCTGTCCCTGGTGCCTGACTCACCCTCACCCTGCCCTTGTCCCTCCCACATCCCTTTCCTGCCCCCAACCCTGTTGCCTCCCAGTCTTCACTTACCTTCAGCCTCATCCAGCAAAAGAAGCAGCAGCACGCTGCACAGTCTCCTACACATTCTTCCCACAAGTCTCAAACAACTGGTCTCCCCCAGTCTTCCACTTCCCCCCTAGAATACAATATCACCCACATGCCTCCCACCCCTCAGCTCTGGGTCTGGAACTGGGGCTGCAGCAGCCTCCTGCCCCAAGCCAGTACTCAAATCTAAGATGAGGCTTTTGTCCCCCTCCATATTGATGGGGAAGGAAAAATCATCTTGGATTTGAGTAAATCTGATAACCACTGTAATTCCATATTAACAAGACCTCGAGAGAGAAGAAAACTTAGCATATAGATACTGTATGATTTAGTAAGGAATACCTTCAGATTTAAGACATTTTAACCAACCTGTTTAAATATTACAAATGTGCTAATAATGATTTAAGGTATCAGAGTACCAAAAAAAAATTAAGTAACATTCAGTTGGAAGGACTCCAGTTTTCTTCTTCCCCATGCAGACTGTTGAAGCGTAGATATGAATTTTGTATATTATCTGGTTATTTATGTAGTTTTAAAATGATAAAGATGCTATTCCAAATCTCTAGGTATCCTAATACATTAATTATGCAAGACAATAAAATCCCCAAGACAATACAGTAAAATCCCCAATATTCCTAGTATAGACCTGGCCGTTGTCAGGCGGTAGTGTTGTGGGAAGGCTGCTAGAAAGCCTTCCCACATAACTTTTTTGTTGTGAATCATTCAAAACACTGTATAACTGCAGCCAAGCAATTATAGAGGGGAAACGTATTAGCATGTCATTCCTTGTTTCTGTATCTAACAACTTTATCAAATTGAATTGACTGTAGCTTATTCCAAGCTGCTAAGGCACGTTCTGGAAGAATTCTGAAAAAAAATGACAACAAATTAAAATAATTTTTATAAATTTAAACTATGGGAAGGGAGGAGAAAGCCTGCATACAGGAGCGAAAGGAAGGGAGAACCCCAAATTCCCTTGCTCTATCTCCAGTTCCAAGACCTGAGAAATCCAAAAGTATTAAATAAACCTATGATGTTTTTACCCTAGAAATTGACCCCTATGTCATCCTGCACTTGTGTTAATTCTTGAAACAAACCAAAAAGCATCAATGGTTCCATAAGCATTTCTCAGCTGCTCAGCAGCACATATCTCTGGTCTATGGTGGATCAGAACTACTACCAGCACTAGGTCCTTTTCTTCTGGCTTGACAATTCTAAGAATCTTCACTATGCTCTCTTTTCTTAAGGCCATGCACCTCAGGTGGCAAGGGGCCACTGTCTACCTCTACCTGGACAAGTGGCTAGTAAGAGGAGTCTCTTTTGACCCAGTGTCAGAGAGCCTGCAAACTATGGTATGGCTCTTTCGGACTCTGAGTCAGCTATTAAATATACAAAATTCAAATTACAGGGCAGAGACTTGAATTCATAGGAACCTTTGGGATTCTGTGACAGCTTGGACCTACCTCCTGCAGGATTGTTTACGATCTTTATGAGAACTAATGCTGCTGTTCAGAGGGCAGTCCTTGATGATAGTAAGAAAAGGCTCTTCTCTAGGCCACATTCTATGCCACCTTAGTATTTATGCAGTATAGCATTTGCATATCTGGCATTACTCTATTTGTCCACAGTGTACCTCCCACTCTCTGGAATACCAAGATAGATCATTTCCACAGGATCATTACCTACACCA